AAATTAAGGATACAACAGATGGATCCTTTGCGGCCTCGCCTACGGCAAAATGTATTGCGCTCCAGTGACAACAGAATTTCTTTTGGGAGAATTGAATTACGCTTAATTGAAAGTATTCGGCTTCAACTTACTCATATTTAATGATACAAATGTATAAATAATAATAATAATAATTAAAGCTGCAAGCAACATTTAGCGGTGTTCAAGCCTGAACTGCTTGGCTGCTTTAAGGCTTTTAAGCACAAAAGCATCAAAATACATTAAGCCTTATGTAGCAAGCATTTAACCACTGAGATCATAGATGGAATAGAACATGTTTTAGCATGATCTAAACAGCCCAGAGAATAGGCCTAGACTGGTTTGGTTCCGATCAGGCTAAAAAACCAGGGACTAGTTTGCAAAAGTAGGTTTTGGACAAAATTCGACATAACTTTTTTTTTGGCCCTAAATCTAAATCGGAGATATACATCCCGTCTGTCTTGAGCCACGGATTACAATGGTGTAAAAGGCTAAGTCAAACTGCATTGGAGTACTTTTGGTTGCTGTAGCACCACCTATGGGCCAATCGGGCTCATACTCTGATAGTTTCTCCTCAATTTGAAGCCCTACCATCTGGCTGAGTTTCAAGTCTCTATGCCTAACGGTTTGGGCTGCACGATGCTTTTTAGGGGATTTTTTCGTGCTTGAACACCTAATAAAAACTTAAAGCGATTCAAATGTTGACATATCTTACTAAGATGCGATTATATATAGCTATACTCTTCATTACATACAGAAATGGGCCATGGTGAACACATTCAGACAGTTTGTGAACCCTGTTTTGTTTTCAGACAGTTTAACATAACTTTCAAAAAAGTCCAGTACAAACATTACTGTCACTCAATGGCAGCTGTCACAATTGCTAGATGACAAGAACAATCCTCTGTAGGCTAGACCGTCCCATTTAACAATGCTCGGTCTGCCCTTCGAAGGATGCTGGAGACCGTACAGGAAGTCTTTGGATTCTGGTCAAGGATTTGTGAATTGTCAGCCATTTCTTGATGTGCCTTAGAGAAAAAAATGGGTTCACCTCAATTTCTCTGGCCATAGACATCGTTTAAACCTTTAAAGTGCACCATACGAATGTATGTTATGAGCCATCAAACAGTTTTACAGAAACTGTGCTTTAGAGTTGGTGTACAGGGTTTCACTCTACAAGAGATACATGAGCCCACGGCTCACCCTTGCTTTCCCAGTCAACTGATTTAACAACCTCACCCTTCGGGAATGTGACACTTTGCTCTGTGGAACGCAAGACCACCACAAACATCACTGTTAGCATGAGGGAGATACAAAGAAAGTTAGCTTGTCCTTTCTTTTCCTTGCAATCAATAAGAAGTATGTCGTACCTACCTCTCTGCCATGGTTTGTGGAGGACTATGTGTTTGTCTGGGCCAAGTAGGCCTATAATACCTGGAGAAGGTCAGCCATTAGCATTCCCAGTAATCGCCATTGCTTAGCTTGTGTAGGACCCCGGGAGGTAAAATTCTGGTAACTAATATCTCTGGAAAGATACTATTTGCAGCCAGATCATCTAGTTATGACATTTACTGGCATTGTAGGGACTCACTTGTAAAGGATAAACAGTCAAAACAAGACTGGTGGAGTCATTATTTAATCCCTAATCCATTTAGTACCAGTGCTTAACAAAAGATAGTCAGTATGACTGTGTCAAAGACTTACAAGAGGATGCCATCTTAAATGCCCAATATAGCTGTCAATCAGGGTTATTTATCACTAGAGCAAAGCTGATAAAGTTCAACCTCAAGGTTTTGAGGTGTGTTGTGGATTTGCAGGTTTCTCTAGAACGCTTGCTCTAGGTTCTATTTGTAGGCATCTTTGCAAGTGTGGGTGGGAGTGACAAAAAAAGGATGTGGTGTAGGGTCTACATCGAGAAACAGCCCTATAAGACTGACCTAAGACCGGATGCTTTTCTCAGAACTCCAGCCATAGTCAATTCCAGTAATTGCAGAACCGGTCTCAGATATGCCTGGTCCGTATGTCTGTGTAGGCGGGAGCGTCAAGCCTCCTCGCCCACTCCCAGCCTGCGTGCAGTATCTCACAGCCACCTGAGAGTCTGAAGCCCTGCAGACTGCAAGCAAAACCAGGTCAGTGCTTTAAACGGTCCTCAAGCATTTCTGTGACATCTATGCAAGTGGTTCCCAACCTGGTGTACCCCCAACACCGTTGGGAACTACTGACTCCTCAAAGGGGTCCAATCCTTCTCCAAGAGGGACATTCCTGCAGAGTTTAGATTAGGTGTCCAATCCTGCAACTGGAGGGCCACCAAGCCGTGTTTAGCTCCAGCACCAATTAAACACACCTGAACCATCTAATCAAAGTCTTCAGGATGACTAGAACGTGTGGGCAGCTGCATTGGAGCTAAATTTCAAGAATGGATACAGAAATTAACATTAATCCCAACCACCTTATTTTGCAATGCAGAAGCGATTTTCTGTAAATTATTTTATTAGCCGCTATTGACCTTATGTAGCCCCGCCCCTTTCCAGCGTTGCGCTCGTTGTCTTTTGACTTCCGGTCTGTATTTCCACAGCGATCTTGCATAGGTATGAATGAACTGCTCGTAAAAAAATTCCCGGTCGACAATTTGTTAAGACATCTGCTTTACAATGCTCATGATAACTTAAGTTAACTCTACAATACGTAAATCCACTTCACCAGCTAATCCGACAGCGATGCCATAGAAATACAGAACCGGAAGTTCAAAGACAATATTCTAAAGATGACGGCGCCCACGATTCTCTGGTGCATAAGGTCTAGGTAACCCTTCAATGTCAATGTCCAGTTTTGCCTTAAAAATAAGGTGGATAATGTTGGCTTTTTTTCCATTGACATTGCTAGATCAATTTGTTCAAATTTGGTATAATATTTCTTCAAAAACCTGTTGGTGCCATTGGGATATCTAATTCCTAAAGTTACTCAGGGGGTTATACAATTATGAAAAGTTTTGCTGGGGAAGAACTGCTAACCTAAAACTGTCCCTTCTTGAGACTTCAGAACAGTAATTAGGACTATCCCGTAGAGGAAGTTTAAGAATAGAGGCTATACTCACACTGGAGATGTAGGAACAAAGGATGGCAAGGGAAACATTGTGAGACACAAATAGAACCTTGTGGTTCCTTAAACCATTAGTAATCTCAAAATATCAGACTTAGCCACACTGATTTCAGACACTGTCAGTCTGTGAAAAAACAAAAAATAAGACTTCTGAATGTCTGCATTGGTTTTTAAGTAATTCATCCCAAACATAGTAAAAACATGCACGTTATGCAGTGCAAGTAACAATTTAGACAAAACTAGTGAACCCAAAAAACAACTTTTCTCAGCAAAGGACGATTACTACTTTCTGCAAGTGTTCTCTGCCAATTCTGTACAAGTGCCACTGGAGCAAGCTGTAGCATGTTGCCACGCTAGGCATCAGACGTTCATAAAGACACATGTGGTTTAGTCTCGTAAAACTCCAGTCAGCACAAGCATATAGCTCTAGAGCAGCCATGTACCCAAATGAACCTGTACTTAAGCAAATATAGGCCTTTAACTCCACAACGTCCACCGTCTGTAGGATGTTTCTTTCTTGCAGCGTAGTCAAGCTGGATTTCTAACTCTGTTGTTGGCTTGTCAGTTTTTAGAGATCTAGAAAATGTATATGAAGGCAACTTGAGTAGGTTGAAAATTAGCATAACAGCTATGAGGCTTGAAGATGCACAAACAAGAAACAAATGAAATATGGCTTAAAAATAAACTTGTACAAGAATTGGTGTCATTAGCTATGTTTCCATATAAAGTGGCGAATTTAACTTAAGCAATTTGAATATCGCAAAAAAAAAAAATTGCAAATAAAGCATCATTTCCATGCAGTAAGCCTAAGACAACAAAATCATCACTTCCTGATAAACTGGTGCTAAATAAAAAACAAAATTACTCGCGCCTCAGACAGAACGCGGTAATGTTATCTTGCTTTTGGAGGCGAGTGGCTGTTGTATGGGAATGCAGTCCTGGGAGGTAATTATACTGAAACACGTTAACGACAGACTGGCAGGCATTTCAGAACAACATTTCAGATGCTCTGCAAAATGATAGGTCCACTGGTTGGTCCAGTTATGCAGTCCCATCGCAAAATTTCTTTTTTTTTGATGCACAATGAGAAACTTATTCAGTAAATTTAATTTAAAGGGATAGATCACTTTGAAATTAATTTTTGGTATGTTTTAGCTTTCCTCAAGGGCATTCAAGATGTAGGTGTCTTTGTTTGTGCAGTCATTATGCAGGTCTATGGTCACCACCTCAATGAGCATGTACAGAGAGGTCCAACTTAAACATGATTTAATGTCTCGTAAATGTAAGTAAGTACACATTGATGGCCTAGGACAAGAAACGAGCGGTTTGTATGAGAAAACAAACAGTATTTATATCGTTTTTACCTTTTGTAACCACAAACAATGTAAAAACGATACAAATACTGTTCGATTTCTCACACAAACCGCTCGTTTCGTGTCTTAGGTCATCAGTGTGTACTTACATTTACGAGTCATTACATCATGTTCAAGTTAGACCTCTCTGTGCATGCTCTTTGAGGTGGTGACCATAGACCAGCATTATATGACTGACAGACACGAACGGTTTGACCTATAAATATCAAAATTGAAACTACTGCGGAAACAAAGACACCTACATCTTGGATGCCCTTGAGGTAAGCTAAAACATACCCTTTAAATTAACTTGGATTTTTAAGTAATTTCAACTTAAATTACAATAAACTCACTTTGTCTAACTAGGTTTTTTTTAAATTGTTGCCAACTTATTGATCATATAATTGTTTTACTCTGTACTACACTGCCCCCTTTCTATCATGAACAGTACTGTACTCAAACAAATCTAAAGCACACCAAACAAAGCTTGAGTTAGTTTTGTGAAGCGCAAAGAACATACGTGACACAACGTGTTATTTCAAATAAATTTATTGTTAATTTCATCCACTGTACAAAGCAAGCAGTCTTGCAGGTTTCTGACTTCAATGGGGTAAGGTGGGGAACAAACAAAGCCGGAGACTTTTACACACCGACAGAATTTCCAACTAAGAAACAAAAAAAAAAAAGAAATAGAAACTGGTGAAGCATAAGTACATTCATATGCAGAATTTACTGAGTATCATCCCACATTTCTCACTTGCTAAAAAAAGAACATACCAGCACAAGTGGTTTACTCCAGCGCTTTGACGATTGCCTCGTTTGCCTCTATGCTGACCAGAACCTCTGCCCGGGCTGCCTCATCTGAAGCGCCCATCAGTTCTGACTGGGCTTTCTCAAGGTTCGCTTTCGCCGCCTACAAAAAAAAAAAAAAAAGACATGGCACTCTTGGCATTTGGTTCACATTCACCGTAATCTTGACACTGAAATATCAGGCGAAAACTCAATCCATAACAGCTGACATTATAAAAGGAGCCATCAATTGGAACAAGTGTCATATAGATCTGAGAACTTCAATATCTTGAAGCACCTTATAAGTGAGAAAACTCATCTTTCCCTTAAAAATCAATGCTGCTGCTACTTGAGCCACATTCTAGACTAGCATGGCCGTATTCTCAACAGTGTGAGCAAATAAACGTGGCCTCTTTCCTGTGAAGGACATTTGTCACAGTGGCGATTACACAGTGTAAAGGCCAAACATTGCTGGGAGTTAAAGGTCTCTCAGTGGGGATTTGACACATCTGCACCACTTCAACGGTGACTGACCTTTCCTTCCTTATTAACCAGCGAGGCCCCCCGAGCATAGCTATCTCTAGGAAGAATAAAAAATTGGCCTATTTATGTGGAATGAACCCAAAAGTGCTCTTTATTCCGCATCGGAAAAAGGGCATGTCCAAGAACATCGCGCTTGGAATGAGTTCGATGTGTCATTCTGAACATTTGACTAACAGAATATGAAGAGCATTTTTAATGATGCTGTAGAGGGTAAACAGCATGATTTCTATGGTTTCGAATGCTAAATTTAAATGATAGTCCAATAAAATATGTCTATGCAGTCTGGCAAACAAATAACAGGGCGTTTCTGAAACAGTATGAACTTTCAAATACGGCACAACTACACAGATTAAACATCATTAAACGCCTACATTATAATCCGAACAGTCTTTGTTTTGTTTTTTTCAAAAATGACTCTTCCCTTTATTTCTTCAAATGGACCTTGTAACCCATTTTTAGTCTATAATGATGCATTTTTGAGTGAACTCAACCAAAAACAAAAACAAAACAAAAAAAAACACCACCCAGGAATGGGTTGGATCGTGAAAAGTGGAGAATGGAGCTATGCATGAATGGGTTTTTCCATTAACAGTATGGCAGGGACTCACTGCTAGGTCCAGGTTGTCCAGAGGAACGGCTTCCTCCGCCAGCAGCTGCACTGAAGAGTCAGCATTAACGGTGACTGATCCACTGCTCACTGCAAAACACAAAGCATTGGTTGACGTCTGAAGAGGCTCTCATTTCTAGGAACAAGTCTGACCCCTTCTGGATGGATTTCTAAAATCATATGCAATAAGTAGTCATGCTTGCTTCAACACAGAATATCATGTTACAAATATATGTGTGCAAATGAGGACCACAAGTCGTAGTTACTTTCATCTTCTCCTAGTTTCATTCTCCTTGCAAGTGTTTCTATATAATTAACATATTTAATATTGTATCAATTTTAGACATTTAAAGGTTTTATCAACGCGCCTCAGAAAAAAACAAGTGTGCATCTTGAGACAAAACAATTGCACTGACATTTTAAGATATGTCAGTACAGGTTGTGTTCAGTTAAAACAGTTCAAACATGCATTTTAGGCTAAGTCTAACCTTAAAGTGACAGTAGCCTAATAAACCTGCTGCTGAAAATCATTTTAGTAGCTTTAGCAAAGAAATACATTTCATTTATACAGTGACTACCCAGACTATTCAGTAGGGCTGGGTAATAAATATCGATTTGTCGATATTAATCGATTCTCATTTTTACGAACCGATATCGATTCTTAAATCTCAAGAATCGATTAGTCATCCTGTTTCATTTGAATGAACGGGACATTGTATCGCGGCTGCGCGCATCTAATTGCAATAATCTTTGTCCTTTGTTGCTATTGATATGAAACAAAGTCTTAATTTTCAAATTACGTCCATTTTCTTTAGAAATTCAAAAACATGAATAACGTTTTGGCGCTGTGGCGTGAGATCGCTCTGGCGCAGCTCAAGAGAAGCAGCAGCGCTGATGTCTCTTCCGGCTTAATAATACCAGTTACAGCGCAAAATAAACATGAATGAGCATCTGAAAGTGTGTTAAAAGATACAGTACAACTTATCGAAATCCGTATCATGTCACATTGATTCGCTCAATCAGCGTTTCAAATGTGGAAAGACGTCAGTTAAACAGCTTGTAATCAATGTCTTGTATCGTCATATTTACCTCAGAAAACCCACATAAACTCGTTAGTCAGTTAGAAAAAAATAACTCCAGAGTGGAGCATTTTGCTAAATATATACACCATATTACATATGCATTATAATCTTAAAGGTATAGCGGAGGATTTTCTTTTTCCGGGTGGGTAGTCTATACTATTGGTCCACCTAAGTGTCAATCATTCTGGTGATATGTTTACGTAAGGCCGTCGTAGGCTACGTGCTCATCCCTATGTAGTTTTCACTTTCAGGTGTATTATGTCGGAGTTACGGTTATGTCGGAGTTACAGGGTCGAAAGAGAAAAAATGTTTACTAAGTGTATGATAAGAAGAGAAAGGCCGCAGAATATAGAAACAAGACCAGAGAGATTTTGGGTGAATATCACACGCTGGCGTGCGCTAAAGCACAGGTTGGGCTTCTCACTGATGCCGCAGTCGCGAAGATTCTACTACACAGGTAAAGTTTGTCACGCTATTTGGAGAAATCCATTTAAAATCACTAGTAAAAGTTAATGCAAGCTACAATGCTAGCCCTGGCACGAGTCATGGACCGCATAGACACGGTAAACATCTAAATTTGTCTAAAGTAGCCTTTTGTCCAAAATGGTAAATGGTATCACGCTGAAATATTCTAAAATCTTGTGTGTTTATTATTACACAAATGCAACAAGCTACTTCTCCATATGCAACTATGTATAAAAATAACGTATTAACAATGAGAGATATTAGGTTAAGGACCAACGTAATAGCACTGCTTATATGTTGCTATGTAACGTAATTGCGATTTGCAAAATAGTTTCCTCAGAACGTATTTCGTGTGATACAGGGTTGCACATATCATGTCTTGAGTCCTCGGTCACTCAATCGATCAGTATAATAAGTAAATAAAACACGGAAGGGCATTTGACATGTTGGCATTTTTTTATGAATGTTTTTTATTTAGTTTAGAATTTGGAACATAATTGTGCAAGGCGTATAGACGTTCCCTCTCGGGAGTAAGAGTGTTGTGTTTGTGCATGTGCATTTTTAAAAAAAATTGGAGAGGGCGGGTCTTCTCTAAAATTCGGAAAGATCCTCCGCTATACCTTTAATGTTCTTCAATAATTAATGCATATTTGAATAAATATGGCAAGTTTTTATGACAGTCATCATTTAAATATTTATATTTCATATAATCTGCTCATTATAAAAAATAAATAAAAGTGTAATTTAAGTGTTTGTATAGCTACAAAACAGTTCATTATTGCCTTCATGTTAGGCTAATGAGGCCTAGTAGGCTACAACTAGACTCACATAGTTTACAACATTAGTTAAGAGATTTGATTTCCTTGAGAAAATTTGCCATTTATTGTAACGGATATCCAAAATAATCAATACTGAATCGAATCGAATTCAAAATGGAATCGAATTGCAAGCTTGTGAAACGAAATCGAATCGAATTGTGAAATTTGTGTCAATACCCAGCCCTACTATTCAGTGTTATTTTACATTCAATTATTCAATGTCTGTGCCTGTTAAACTTACCTGACAAACTTAAAGCACTGGTTATTTCATTTGTATCTTTGTTCTATTGTATTTATCCATGCTTGTAATGCGTTTATTATTTCCTATTGAATCACCCTGATCATTCTAGAATGATTATTTCCAAACAGAGCTATTCAATTTCATCTGAAATTTTCATATACAAATATATATTGCAGAAAAACAAAAATACTCACAATGTCATTTTTTTTTTTTTACAAAATAATGTAGCCCAAATTACAAGGCAATCTATGAACTGATAAAAAGAATGTATGCCTTCAACGCAATGCAAGTCACTTTTGATAAAAGCATCTGCCAATTGCATTCATTTTTATGTCAAATCAACCCTCTACAATGCGAGTAAATTTCACTCTGGGTGACTAAACAATAACCATTGGCAAATACATTCTTAGATTTTACTCGCCAGTGTGCGTGTTAGATGCCAAATATAAGTTTAGCATAGATATATTTTCATCAGGGGTGTCACAATTCTCCAAATCCTCGATTCAATTACATTTTCGTTTCTAAGGTCATGGTTCGATTCTCAATTTTTATCAATCGGCCAAGTCTTACATTCACTTCATTAGACACACACGCAAGGTCTCTCGCTCTCTCCCTCTCTGCCATGCGCGCAATATGGTTTGGACAGTGGTGGATTGTAACGAAGTACAAATACTTTGTTACTTTACTTAAGTACATTTTTCACGTATCTTTACTTAAGTAGAAAAAATAGTGCATACTTTTTACTTTTACTTCGTTACATTTTGCAGTAATTATTATACTTTCTACTCCACTACATTTCTACAACTTCTGTTACTTTTTCATTACATTTTCTGATCAGTTTTTCCCCTGCAAAATCGTAATTTGACCGTCCGTCTGTTGCACGTTTGTCTCACCAGTGATGTTTGGTTGCCATAGATACATCAACTAAATGCGCCTCACACGCAGTGTGTTTATCGTGCAATTTATACGTGAAAATTTGTTTTTACGTGCATAGGAAACGCACTTTGTGTAATATACGTTTGGTTAGGATTATGGCAAGCCAAGAGGTTCAGAATAACACCATAAATTAATCGCGTTTACTGCCAAACATAGTTATTAACATATAGTAAGGATAAGCATGATGTGTATATTGCCTAATTGCAAGCTTGTTTCAGAAATGGTGACAACATTTTTTTTCCATCATTATTGAACATCATTATAGGAGTATTAAGTTGAATGAGTTAGAATTAAATGTTTTATTAATCATTAGAAAATAGACATTAAGAGAATAAATTGTTATGCAAGTACTTTTACTTTTAATACTTAAAGTACATTTAAAATCAGCTACTTTTTACTTAAGTATGTGTTACTTCTACTTTTACTAAAGTAAATATTTATCTGAATATTTGTACTTTTACTTAAGTACTGAGATTCAGTACTTCCTCCACCACTGGGTTTGGATCATAGTTTTTTGTTTTTTTTTGTCTCGGCATGCATGCTCGCTCTTGCTCGCTCACTCTAGATTCCGGGAGATTTTAGGAAGCTGCTATCAATATGTGGGAGACTCCCGGAACTTCCGCGAGACTTGGGATGTCTGCAAACTGTGGCTTTTTTGAAGCGCGAACGGAAATCCAAAAAACTTCCACACCTTCAATGAAAGAGGAGGGGGTTCAATTTCTGTCGATGGCTCTCCTGCATCTGCACTTGATTGACTGATCTTAAGAGTGTACATTTTAAAAAAAGCTGTGCCATTTTACAATGATAAGCTGAATTGGTATATATAAAAAATACTCACCGAAATACTTAGCAGAGGAACCGTCGTCATTGAAGACGGTGACTACGCCGGGCCGGAGGACCTGCAGTGTGGGGACGTGGGCTGGCAGGATACCAAAGGCTCCAGTCAGTGTTGGGACGTCAATCTGTTTTACGCTGGCTTCCTTGAAGAACACCTGCAAAAGGCACAACAAGCTTCAATGCACCAGATGAACAGTTTGAGGATGTGCAGCAACCAAGTGGCCGGCATCCAAACAAATGGCAACATATTAATTAGAAAGCGGAATTTTCAGCATCATGCGTCACATGATCCTTCAGAAATCATTTTAATATGCTGATTTTATGCTCAAAAAACAATATTTATTTTCAATGTTGAAAACAGTTTACAGGTTAAAATTTGTTTCCAGAATTCTTTGATGCATTTAAAATATAATCTTTTCTAACATTATAAATATCTTTACCGTAACTATTTATCAATTTAACTCATCCTTGATGAAGTATTAATTTATTTATTTCCCCAAAAAACTAAATAAAAATTCTTACTGAACTCAAACTTTTGAAGGGTAGTGTTTAATGTTACAAAAGCTTTTTATTTCAGACAAACGCTGTTCTTTTGAACTTTCTATTTTTTTTTATTACTGTGTTATGATGAACCCTCTGCGCATTATTTATAATATTACTTGGGCTACTTTTGCATTTGATGTTGTGCATGCAAATGTACAGATTTGAATATGATTTATTTTATTATTATATTACGATTTATCATTTTAATTTACAATAGATTTCTAAGATCATTCATTCAAATAAACATCGGTATGACAAAAATCGCATTAATTTCTACTAATCACATTTTTATATGGTTAGTGAACAAATATGCCCTTCAATTCCACAAGCAAATTTATTAAATACATAAAGTTAAAATCGGTCACTTAATTATGATTTCCTCGACTTTTAAAGCTTAATTTCAATGATTTTCTTTTTCTGGGAATCATTTAAAATACCCTGATATTTCCAGGTTTTTCAAGAGTGTGAACTGTGAACAAAACATTTAATCTTGAAGAGACTGACAGTTACTTTGCCTTGCACTATAACACCCATATAACATAAGTTGATTTAAATTTTGATGGTTCATAATTTAATGAAGAAATGACATATTTTATCAGCTGTCTTAAGACATTTAATTGATCTTCTCTTTGAATCTGTCAAAAACAAGTCAAGGTGATCGATAGCAATGCTAGCAGTCTGCTAAAGTCATTCAAAAGTGTGTCCATGTTCTGCATGACAGAATTCGTAGTATATAAATGTAAAGAAATATACATATAAATAATTACAGCGTAAACATTGTAAATTAAACATAGATTAAGTACATTCCCTGCGGATGCAAACAACAATCTGTAAAGTTACCACATTATTTTTATGTATTGACAAGTTTACCCACGCGCAACATGAACGCGCGCTCACAGATCAAACTATATCTACAATAAAGAGTAGCAGCTATATCCATGAAAAGCTGAGTGTAAATCATGACATATAAGACAAAATATGACTGAAGTAATCACCGCCGGTGATTAGCGTGTTAGCAGAGCGTGTAGGCCCGAAGCCGGAGCGTCAGTACCTGTGTCGGCGATGCAAAAGTGAAGGACATTTCAGCGGAGGAAGAAGCCGCTTCGGCATAACAGCGCGCGTGTCTCAACGCAGGGGCCGCGCGACGAAGGAGAAACCTCGCTGCCATCATTTTTACCACGGAGAAGAGACCTGACCTTTACAGCACGACAATGTACAAGCCTCGGCTTCCCTGTCCAGCACACAGCACAGGCAGTCAAGTCAGATAGTGCGCGGCTGATAGGACAAGGGCACGGGCAATCTTTCCCATCAGGCTTTGCTCGAACTGTGGGGCTGATGGGAACTGTAGTTTTTTTTTTTTTTTTCAAGCAAATATGAACTGATATGGAGGTTTACATTTATTCATTTAAGTATAGGGTGATGTTTTGCAGCGTAAAAATTCAGTTTTTCTATAGATTTGCCTTGCCCCAAATTTAGCTTAAAATATTTAAATCGACCGACCGTACAGGAGGACAATAAACACAAAGTACTTTTTTTTTGTAAATCTTTAAAACCATTATTATTATTATTATTATTATTATTATTAGTGATTTAAAAAAATCAAATACAGATAAAAAATAAAATAAAACAAAAAGACAAACATAAAAGTTGATGTTTAAAGCTTTTGTAGTTTTTAAACTTAATATTGTCAAAATTCTGAAAATATATTATTTTTCTCAAAACAATTTTCAGATGTAGCCTAAATCAGCGGAGGTAATTTCCACCGCTACGGACATGTTGCCCCTTTAAAAAATATTGTGCACTTTTAAAAAAAAAAAATTGTACGTCAATTATTGTACGTCATTGCCAAGTCAGATGTAGGCTAATTATGAAAATTATGAAAATGTGTGTAGGAGATATACAATGATTTTAAACATCATTGGAAAGACAAAGTAACTCTGCTGTGGGTTATTTTGTTAAACAATATATTTTTTCCAAATAAAAAACGACAGAATTCTCCTGTGATGTGCATGTATGTTCACTGATGGGTTGACAAATAAATGTGTGATGGTCAAACAATTGGTTTGAAATATTACCTTTTCCATTTTTGCGGTTTATGGCTCATGAACTGTTATCTTGCTCATAAAACCCTGGTTTAAACAACTATGAAAGCCACTGGGGCAAATTGTCACAAACTTCCTTTCTTCCTGTATAATAACAATCAAAATTTTCGGTGTCCTAATTGTAGTTTTATTTATTTTTGTCTCTAAAATATCAGTTTATACCAAAAAAATAAACTCACTGTGAAAAATATTCACTGTATTGTATACGACCAGGAGAGGGCGCTCAGTAAATATCAATTTCAATAGATTCATATTTGTTCTTGTTTGAATGGAACATCACATTGAAACATAATAACGATTCACTTCAAATAGATTTATAACTTACTATTTTCTACTCTATAGCCTATTGCATTTTTATATTCAACACGATCTAGATTTATTAGTTCAGTTGAATATGGACAGTGCAAAAAACAACAAAAACAAAAAACACGTTTCCAGACAAAAGCTGAAAAATATGCATAACTTCTAGCTATACATATACATACATATATATATATATATATATATATATATATATAAGACGACATGGGGTTGCCCGTTACTGAGGATTTTTACTGACTCAAATGGGGGATTACCTCATTTCCATAACATCATCAGATGAGGGCGTGAGAGACACTCGTGACAAGTAACGCTGCACCTCACTCTGACGTCACACTATCACTGGGCGATGGGAGAGTGGGTGTGTTTAACGGGACACTTCATTCATAAATACACAAAGATTTAAAACCCCAAATTAAAGAGAAGATCGGGGAATCGTTTGCGAGCTTTTTTGTCTCATGGACCACATGAATTATAGTTAGGTGAGTTTTGTTTGCTTGTCATTCACGCTGCTATTGTTTCCATGATGAGCGCCCAGTGTCTTTGAATGACATCGTGCTTTATTTTGGGGGAATTATGGTAATGTTAGTCTAAAATGCGGAGATTATTTTGAAGCAGTAGTTTTGGAGAACAGACATGGGTTATCCTGGATTTTAAACGGCTATCGATTAGAAATAATATGGACATCACTGGTTTGGATTGAGATTTAAATTAATCTATATGGTTTTTGTATCGCCTGTTTGTTGACTATGGCAAGCGGTTTGAACATTTATTCATGTAGACTAATTACTATTTTTATTTTACTAGAAGTTTTCCAATACTGACTAATCAATTTGACTAGTAATTCATTATATTCAGTCGATCCTAATGCTTATCTCAATACCTATTCCAGCCTTAGTTAGGCAAGAATTGATCACAGTTATTTCTTGTAATATTTTTTTTTAATCGAAAAAATTACAATTATTTTGTAATTATTATTGACCACTCAGAATAGCTCAGTTAACTGTAATTTATATACTATACGATTAAAAATATTATGATTTCAACATGTTCCTCAAACAATATCTTTTTTTTTTTTTTTTTTTTGATCCTGGAACAACATTCCATCAACCAATCAGATTTTGAGGACAAGTTTATACAGTTTGTGGCAAGTTTAGGTTTGCAACCAGGGTTAGGTGCTTCTACATCAGTTATTCACCTATCATTTCCCTCTGATTTTAGGGATAACTTATGGGTTTAGAGTATGGTTAGGGTGGTTTTTGGACATGATGTTGTTTATCTGGCAAAATCAGGATGACCTTCATAAGTTGTAAAAAAAAAAAAAAAAACAAACAAAAAAAAAACTGCAACACAAACTTTTGGGAAAATGTTAAACAAGTAATTTTAGCAAGTAGCTACTTGTAACAAATTGCATTTTTTTCATTGTTCAATGGAACAATGGAATATTTATTGTATAATAAGTAGCCTAGAACGTAACGGCTAATCAGTGATGATGAGAAAGATAACTGTTGGTATTGTACTTACTAATTAAAAATAAAATAAGTACCAGTAGTAATATAGTGTACATGTAGATAATACATGAAGGTTCTAGTTTGGATGAAAGAATTAATGCAAATAATCTATACAAATTGCTTATGGTAGAGATTTATGAATTTATTACACCACCGCAGAGTCTTCCAGGCATGACACTCAGGAAAAAAAAGGTACAAAAGCTTTCACTGGGGCTGTACCTTTTCAAAAGGTACACTTTGGTACCCAAAGGCTGCATATTGGTACCTTAGTGGTACATATTAGCACCTAAAATGTACACATTAGCTCATGAAATGGACATATTAGCACCTAAAATGTACATATTAGCACTCAAATGTACATATTAACACTTAAAATGTACATAATAGCACCTAAAATGTACATATTAACACTTAAAATATACATATTAGCACCTAAAATGTACATATTACCACTTAAAATGTACATATTACCATCTAAAATGTACATATTACGTCCTAAAATGTACATATTAACAATTAAAATGTACACATTAGCACCTAAAATGTACATATTTAGCACCTAAAATGTAAATATTAGCACCTAAAATGGACAAAAGTTGACCTTTTGAAAAGGTACAGCCCTAGTGACAGCTTTTGTACCTTTTTTTACTAAGAGTGAAGAACCACAGTTGTTGAGACTTAGGTAATTACTAGAACCTGTAAAATATGTTTCTTCAAATAACCTAAAATGTGCTTAATGTAGTTTTATTTAAGCCAAATATTTAAGCAAATTGACGAAGGTTAAAAAGGGGTCATATCGAGTAAAAACACTCTTTACAGTATCATACAGCAAAATGTTTCATTAGAAATGGTGACAACCAAAGAGAGTGAAATCTGGCAATGACATCTGAAAGAATAGTCCCTGAATGGTACTAAATGGGTCTCTCTTGATTCGTTTCAATAACCATAACGCAGTACAATACAGCAGCATTATGCTTCCGAGACACAAAAGAATGAACTTGAATTATCTCAGGAATGCCTAATGCTAAAGTCTCCAAGAGGGAGAAAGAGAGAGAGAGAAGCTATGAAAACAGGTAGGTGGGCAGAAACTGGATGAGTATGCAGTAGAAGCTGAAGGCTTCGCAGTCCGAGCCGTTAAACACACAGCTATCTCTGCATCTCATGCACACAAACACACGCTGCCTTCAGATAATGGGAGAAAAGGCAGCGCCGCTGCATTAAAGAAGCAAGGACTGCTTGGGAGGTGAGTGTGAGAGAGGGTTTCTTTGAATCTGCAGTGTTATTGGTGTTAAGGGGAGCATATGCTGCTGGGCCTCAGACTGGATGAAAAAAGGAAATGGTTATTTGATGGAAAGGGTGACATTGGAATGCATAAGTATGTGTTTGTATACATGAATTTGTTTAAGAAGGAGACTGGGAACTGTATTCTTGTTTAAAAGCTAATCATTCTAAAGAAACTGCCAGTTCAGGGATGCATTCGTTTTATTTTCCTTCTAAAAAAGAGAATTCTAATCAGTCTTTAGTGCCATAACCGGCTTCAAAGCAGCTGCCTGACTTCCTGTAATGTCTTTCTCAGGGGGGACACTCTCTCTGGCTTGGACCATGAGCAATGAGTCTGCCATATGGAACCTAACAGAACACCCCACCGTAAGTACTTGCGCTGCTTCTCCTTCCTGTGCTGCTTACTTTCATTCTCCTTTTCAGAGCTATCTCCAGACATGCGAATCAAAAATATCCTGTTCTGCATCCTTTGTAATTGGATCCACCATAAGATCTAAGCAAATTAGCCCTTTGCGAGAGACGTTTGTGTCAGACCGAATCCATCGTGCCGTCAGACGATGTGATAGAGCATCAGAACCCAGAGTTACTGTCAGGAACTTCAATTACCGGCATAAGCAGCATCATTCGATTAGGTCAGAATAGAGAGATTTATTCAGGAATAGCAACTGATTCCAGGATGTTCTGGGATTTGTTGGACCTTATGTAAGGCTTAAATGAGTGCTTTACTCTAATATGATTCATTTACTCATTCGAAACCTGGATGACTTACTTCGAAGAATGTCCTAGCTGCTCTTTTCCATGCAATTACAATGTTTCTGGAATGAGAATGTCCAGCTTCAAAAAGGTGAAAAAGCACCATAAAAAGAATAATAGGCTTTGTCAAGACTATAAGCTTGGTGTGAGGGACAGAAAGATGTAGCAGTGTGATTTGTCAATGAATCGTTTCATGAATGAATGACTTTCGAGTCCGATTTTTTCAATGAATCAATTCACAAAATTGGTCTTGAAAACGTCTCCATTTTTGTTCCACGGAAGAAAGAAAGGCATACAGGTTTTGAACAACAATTAGTAATGCACTGAATTCTTTTTTTACCTAAACATCAAAATCGAAAAATGTGAAATTTCATTTAGCCGAAAAACAAATAATAATTCAATTTGGTAAATTTCGGTAATTCAATTTCGGTAATTCAATTTGGGTAGTTGAACTCGGTTTTCGGTTCAGGGCATCGTGTTCTCAGGTGATAAATTAAGCTCTTCACCAATCAGCCGCCCCGTAATTTTAGCTGAATGTTTACGAAATTTTACGTATTGCTACTCTGGCACTCTTGTGAAGTAGCATAATTTTTCGTTAGCTCTTTTAGCTTATCCATGACATAGATGCCGAAACAGTCAGAATGGTAGAAACTCGGACTAAACATTGCTGTTTTGATCAGGGATTTCGGCTCTCTAAAACGATTTAGTCGGAAAACAAAAAATCGTTTTATTTTCGTTTGCCCAAATTTCGGTAAACCGCCAAACCACCAAACCACCATGATCCGAACCACCAGGGGGACCACTTGCTTTTTACATATAATTTAATGACTAGGGCCTAGGGCTGAGCGAGAAATATAGTTTTTGATTTTGGCTTCCAACAAAGAAAAACAAGATTGCCGCATTCCTTTCCTTTAACGTGTTGTCTCCCTTCCTACAAAACATCCAAATCAGTCTAAACATGACTACCGTAATATACAACCTCCTGTGGGACGTGCTCGATACTAAAGAAACGCTGTTCCCCAGGTGCCTTTCTGTCCGCTCAATCTAAGATCACGGACAACATGCTACTTTTGGATTTGGCGTGCACTTTAACAGACAAATGCACACAAAAATATCTTAAAATATCTTGAGTTTCACTTAAACACAGTCTTAAACATAAACAGTTGGGGAAGTAATCGAATGATTGTCGGTATTATCTGAGCTTTTGGTCTTAAAGTGACAGCAGCCTAATTAACCAGCTGTCAGTGTCATTTAATGTTAAACAATAAAAGAAATCTTTTATAATCATAACTTCCTATCTCCACAGCGCTTCTTAGCTTAGCTTCCTAACAAGATGACTGATATTGATTTCAGTTTCTGCAAGTGAAGTCCCACCCACTCATCTGTAATAGGCCTATAGCTTGAGTGGGTCCCACACCCTTGAATAATGAGGAGCTAATGTTTGTAGACTCTACACTTTTCAATGAAATGTGACTTCCTGCTAATTATGGCGCAAAATGACGATTTTTACGTCATAATAAGCAGGAAGTAAAACACTTATTTTTATCATCCTTATTTCTCCCATCTCAGGGGAAAAATATGACTGGGTTTCCTAAGACACAATGGGTGAAGTGTCCCTTTAATGTTGGAGAGGTGAACATTACACAACACTGCAGAGTGATCCGACAATAAAATTGGTAATATAGAGATAGAGGGGTTAGGTGAAATTAGAGATGGGCTGAGAAATATGTAATCTATCCTAGAGAAAGTCTTTTGTCTGTTAGAAAAAAAAAGTCAAGTACTTAGACGTAGACGTAGTGTCTTGAATTCTCTAAAGATTGATTATATTAAGTTCAGTCATAAATTGATTCAATAACTTAGAAGACGGGTTAGCTGTTTTATCCAGGTGAGATTTATCCAAACAGGATTTAAGACGGCATTAAAATCACCACCCAATCAAGCAATGATTGCTCAAGCAATGTATGGGAAATATGAATAAAAATAGCACGGTCTGCCTCATTCGGGCAGTAAATGGAGGCCAGTGTTAAAGGGACACTCCACTTTTTTTGGAAATAGGCTCATTTTACAACTCCCTCAGAGTTAAACAGTTGAGTTTTAACGTTTTCAAATGCATTCAGCCGATTTTCTGATATTTAGAAGAATATCAGTAACCAGACAATTTCTGGTCTTATTGACTTCCATAGTAGGGGAAAAAAAATATACTATGGAAGTCAATGCAATGCCATACAGTAAGTTACATGTAAATGTTAGTGCATATCCTAGATTCCAATCCATCTAGACGCATAATATTTTAACTATTGGTGTCTGTTGAAAACAACAAGAGAAAAGAACGACAAACAACTACCGGTATGTACAAAACCCGGTCTTCTTCTTAAAACTTGAACAATGCTACTCCATGACAGATAGTTTCTCCTTTGAGAACAGCCTTCACTTTTGCCAATCCGGGTTAATGTTGGGACACCCCAGTGAAAAATAGCCTGCTGACGACCGACGTAAAGAGAGATCAGTCTTCAAAACGCTTTCATTTACAAAACAATAGACCCGATCTGAATAAAGTCTCCCATGATCTTCAACTGAACAATGTCTTCTGGGTAATTAGGATGCTGAGCTCCTCCAATTGAAGCTGAATAATGTAAGAGTAATTGTAAGGTGTTACATATAAAGAGCCAAGACTTCATGCCTTGTTCCTATGCTCTTATTTAGCATTCTTTTCATTGAACACCTCTTCACATGAACGTCCTACGTGAACGAAGATGACAATTAAGCAGGCGGGAGGTTGAAAGGTGCTGTCTTTGACAAGGAAACCGACCGTCTCTTCCGTTCTTGTCTCCGTTCTTCACCTCTAGATCTATCTAAACTCGTCTTTGGTAAACACTGTACTTAACATCTCAACTCAGGCACAGAAGCCTCCACACCTGAAGGTCCTCTCCTCCAGAAACTGCGCCTTATGTAATATCGCTATAAAATAAAGGTTCTTTATTGGCATATGGTTTAATGAAGGACCTTCATCGAACTTTCCATTTGGACAAAAGGTTCTTTATAGTAGAAAAATGTCCTTTAGATTATTAAAATGTCTTCAATGCCAAACATGTCTCTGGTTTATGTGTCAGTAAACCATTTTTAACCATTTTCTAGGTTATGAGACGTGAAAAAGTTGGACAACGTAATTGGAGAAACTGTGAAAATTCAAGTCATGCGGTTTTACTCTGAGAAGGAATTTCATCTTTGACTGGTTTGTTTCTTTCGCTGGTGTTTACCTAGGACGTCCCGTTGTCGTCAGGGACACAGAATGGCTATGTCCTCCTGCTGGTCCTCTTGTCCATTTTTGTCGGGGGGACAGTGGTCCTGCTCTCTGTCCTTCTGATTGTCTGTCGTCGATGTTGTGAAGGGGACAGACGCCATGCGTGGTAAGACCAATCCACACTGTAAACAAAATATTTTCCTGATTTGTAATCACATTTTTTTCTTTTGTCAAATCAACGTAAATCATTTATGTAGTTCAGATAACTTAATATTTTGAGTTTCTGGTTAAATAAATCTCCTACATTGTATTAACAACATTTTTCCATTTCGATGAATTTAAAAGTTTAAGGCAAGCAGGTTACTTCGGGTTTTTTTTTTTTAAAGTTAAACCAACAATATTTTTTTACAGTGCAGTCAACACATCCCTAAATCAATTCTGGATGAACATTTCTGTCATCCAATCAGATTTCAATAATATTCAACCTAACATTTCCCCGCTTTTCTCTTCTCCCGGAAAAGTTTAGTATTATCTATATTCTATTAAAGTTTTATATATTTGAATTCATTTAGAATATTTTATTTTAATTTTAAAATGATTTTAATTTTATTTTCATTTTAATATTTTATTTTAATCATATTGAATTAGCTTTTATTTGTATACTTTCATTTTTATTTTTTTATTTTAGCTTGTTTAAATGACGATTTAGTATTATCTATAATCTATTAAAGTTTTATATGTTTGAATTCATTTAGAATATTTTATTTTAATTTTAAAATAATTTTAATTTTATTTTAATCATATTGAATTAGCTTTTATTTGTATACTTTCATTTTTTATTTTAGCTTATTTTTTTAATGTGTTTTTGTCAATTAAAAAAAAAATCTTATTTAGATTTAATTCATTTTTATTTCTGTTTTAGTAATTTTGGCACTTTCAGTTAGCTGCCAAGGCAAAATGTCTTATTTTATTTCAAGTTTTTCATATAATATTTATTTTTTTACTTACCTCAAAATGGTTTAAATTAGCAATAACAACACTAACTGGTACAGTAAATGTGCACTTTGTTTATTTATTTATTTTTTTAATCTCAGTGATATTTCTATCCTTTGTTTTCAGAGCAGCCCCTCTGGATTGTGTAAAATGTACACAGATCCATTTTTTATTTAAAACTCTTCAAACAGTTGCAAAATGTATAACAAAAGGATCCAACAAAATGACAGCTTATACATAAAATAGCCTAGATTAAATGAAAATGCTTTCATTATGAATATACATTAGATTGAATCATTGCATGTTGCTGCGTATGTTACAATTCTGACAGCCGATGCACATGATTATGTTTGACGCTAAATTATACATCAAACGCGGAGATTCAACTGGAATAAACAGATCCTCCCGTGAAGCCAAGGACGCTCACTCCCGAAAATGTTTTCAGTGCACATTGGTCACAGCCTGGGTGTATTTGTCAGTGACTGCTGAGAGGTGTAGAGTCTGTCTGCTCTCCAGGCAGCCTGGAGGAGTGCAGGCTCACACAAATGACGAGTATAATGAGATCTCATAGCAGCCATCAGCCACGATAAATCACTCCTGGTGCGGGAGAGAGTGCACTCTAGCCAACACCCACTAATACACACACACACTCTCGCAGTGTGGAACCGTGCACTGTGGTTAGAGGACTGGAAACTCATTTCCAATTTCTCATTACCCACAGTGCCTTATGGCGAATCAAAGCGTATATTGTCGTAATAAAGCCGGTGTTGTTATTTTCCCTATAATATGGCATTTAGTTTGATGAATGTGTTATGAGTTATTTATTTCTTAATTGTTCACAATCGGGACGTTCTCAAAATATCGCAAAACCTCATTTAAAGACCCCATCATGTATTCGTATTTGGGCAGGACATCTCAATTGGTTTTAAATGACATCATCTGGTGGACATATTCACTCCAGGGTTTGATTAAAATCTGGGCATGATGACATCATCAGTATTTTCACTCTGTTTTTTGGAAGAAAAAGACTGTAAATTTTAAATGTGTATTTAAGTTTTAACATTTTTCAGGGGTTAAACTAACATAAAAGCCACTTTAATTTGATTTTTGAGTATTAACTGACAATTACATTTTTAATTAAACACAATTTATAAATGATTAACTTTTCAATCTGGTTAGGGAATCTCCACTTTGACAAAACCAATAAAACAAAATATAAACATTAGTGTTAAAGTAAATATATTATTATTTACTGTACAATTTAATATAATAATAAAAAACTAGGGCTGTCAAACGATTAATTGCGATTAATCGCATCCAAAATAAAAGTTTGTGTTTACATAATATATGTGGGTGCACTGTGTATAATTATTTTGTATATATATAAATGCACACAAATGCATGTATATTTAAGAAAAAAATATTATTTATATATAAAATATAATATACATTATATATAAATCTATATACAGTATATACATGAAAATATTTCTTAAATATATACAAGCATGTGTGTGTATTTATATATATATAATAATACACAGTGCACCCACATATATTATGTAAACACAAATTTTATTTTGCATGTGATTAATCGCGATTAATCGTTTGACAGCCCTATAAAAACGTTTTATATTATTTAATACCAACTTTGTGATATAACATATAATATAATACAATTTAATATAATATTAAAGGGTTTTCAATGCAAAATAAAATAATGCAAAGCAATAAAATCAAATAGAATCAAACCGAACATGTTTGCACCATATTTTGAGAATGACCCACTTATGCATGCTATGAATGAGATTTACATAAGTTTGAATTTGACTCATTACATGTTTGCATTGAAGGTTCATTGTTTGCCTCAGGGCTAGCGATGACACCGAGAAAAGTAACACCACATATATTGAGGAGGCCCAGCCAGTGCATGGTAAGAACTTCATATCAAATAAAGTTAATGTTTATATAATATGTCGGCCTCCGAAGTTAATGCATTTTTCATATGTATTTACATACAGTACATGCTTCAGGTAAAATGTCAAGGTCAAGTCAAAGCAACATTTATGCAGTCTCGCATACATCAGCTGAGGGCATTATGTGAACAAATACGTCCCCTGGTCTAATCCGTCTCTCCCCGCACAGAGATTACGATTCGCATTGATGAGTCAGACTGCCTGTCGGCAGCCAGCTCCCACGACATGGAGACAGAGCGTTTCCTTTCCACGGGCACAACCGGCCGCCGGGTCTCCTTCAACGAAGCAGCACTCTTTGATCATAGCAAAAAAACACAGGAGAAAGGTCGAAGGTCAGCCGCCCACTCACTCATGCCGCCCACTCTAGACACACAGAGCAGCTCCTATTCACAGCGCTTACTGCCGCAGCAGACCGCAGCTTTCATTATTCCTTTATGTTTTACATTTACATCTGTGCTTGAGATGTGCTTGATGAAAAACATGAGCATTTTCCATTTATCAAGATTTGGGGTTAAAAAATGAATGAGAATGTTGAAGGAAAAGTGTATATTTTGTTAAAACATGTAATTTGTTACACATTTTTCAAATAGTCTGGAATTTATTTGTAATTTCATAAAAATGAATGCATAAGTATTAAATGTTATTTTAAAATGTTAATTTAATTTTAATTGTTTAAATTTTATTTGAAGAATTTTTAAGTATTAAAATATTTTTATATTATAATTAGGTTTATATATATATACATATATATGTGTGTGTGTGTATGTGTGACATTTAATTCTTTAATACTTATGCATACATTTATGTGACCTCCCAAAAAAAAGACTGAATTTATGCATACTGTCATTTGTCATATTTCACTTTTTTTTTTTTTTAAGGAATAGGTGTTTAAACTGGTGGTTTTAAATGAACACACAGAGATATTTATATAATTAAATATTTTATAAATTATTATTTTTATATCATTCTTTTAATAAAATAAAATTATTGATTTAACAGGAACTATGCATAAATGTATCTATAAGACATTTTCATTTTCATATTTGTGAAGCAAATCTATAATGAAGTGATAAATACTAACAGTGTGTGTCCTTTTTCCATCTCCCCTCAGGTACACGCTTACGGAGGGCGACTTCCATCACTTGAAGAACGCGCGGCTCACCCACCTCCACTTCCCTCCACCCGCCCTCCAGATACTCACCATCCACGAGTGTGAGTCATCAGAGAACAGTATTGCCATGACAACGCGCCCCGTCGCTAAATCCAGCCTCTCAATTTTCCAGGTGACAGTCACATTGCTCTGCTAATAGGAGAGTATGATGATGTCAGTTTAAATCATTGAGGTCATGATGGATTATCAGTTTGTCAAGTGATATGGTGTGTATGGAGACGTTTACAATGTGGAGCAATTGATTTATCTAGATATTGAGGTCACTGATGTTTTAACATGTTAGCTTTTACTCCTACTTTACCTTAGTCACTCACATCATGATGAAGCGGCATTACTATAAATCCTACTGTATCCCTACTGTCTCCCTGTATAGCGGCACATTTAAAAAATATTATTGACTCCAAACGTTTAACAACACTAGAGTACATATAAAGAGTTCATATAAATTACAGATATTTTGGAATTTTATCTCAACTTGTGTAAGAATGGCAGTCTATACACTGTCAGAAAAAAAGGTACAAAAGCTGTCACTGGGGCGGTACCTTTTCAAAAAGGTACACTTTTGTACCTAAAGGGTGCATATTGGTACCATAATTGTCCAAATATGTACCATGAAGATACCAATATGCACCCTTTAGGTACAAAAGTGTACCTTGTGACAGCCTTTGTACCTTTTAAGCTGTCACTGGGGTGGTACCTTTTCAAAAAGGTACTATATATACAGAATAGTAGATGTTATATTCATCATGCTGGAAAAATGTAATTCAGACTGTGTATTGTGGGATACAGTACACTGCAAAGTGTACTCTGTTGTATTTAACTAATTTTAGCAAAAGTTATTTCATTAATGCATGGCATGCATATAGGGAATTTGCATATAGTACACATGTATTATGTAAACACAAACTTTTATTTTGGATGCGATTAATCGTTGCCCATCCCTAGCCATTCGGCAAGGAAGCCCTTCCCAGAAGTCAAATCTCAATGGTCCCAAATTCTATATTAGAAACCTCAAATATAATCTGATTGGCTGTCACATTTAAAAAATTGGTTTCATTGTCATTCCACAAGGAAGCCCCTCCCACAGTCAAATCTCATTGGTCCAAAATTCTGTCGCTCATCAGTAATCACAATACCGCCCTCGCGCCGCTCTCTCACGGGCCTCAGCCTTGTACATCTGTATAAGCAACATCAAATATGATTATGATATGATTGGCTGTCGCATTTTAAAATGTGGTTTCATCGTCATTAAACACAGTCAAATCTCATTTGTCCAAAATTCTGTATAAGAAGCATCAAATATGATCTGATCGGCTGTCGCATTTAAAAAATTGGTTTCATTGTCGTTACAAAAACCCACAGTCCAATCTCATTGGTTTCAAATCAAGTTTCATCGTACCTGCTTAGTATATGATGTTAGAATGCTGCTCCAATTAAGTTATTCAGTCTGAAGCTTTTGATAATTTTTTTTTCGGATTTTTTTTTTTTCCGAATAAGTTTCGAATGACTGCATGATTTTGTTTGTTTAGGTTTGTTTCTCATTACGGCCATAAGCAATAACGTGCATTGTGTTTGTCCCATGTACAGCCACCAGTATGTTCACTGCCACAGACTGCCCTGATCAGCCGAAGTCTCAGTCCCAGCTCTGCCCTTCCTGGCGACGCTCTCAACTCCACTGTACACACAACGTTCTGTGAGAGCATTGCGGCGGCCGGTCCTGAGCCCTCCAGTCCATGTCTAGTGAGTCACACACACTAATACACTCACCCACCGACGCATAATAATTAGTGCGCAACCGATATTTTAGAGAGGACTGCCGATATTAAACTAGTAAATATGAATTCTCATTAATTTAAAGATAAGAAAAACAAATGCTTAACCATGTGTCCATCGCATATGCAGACTGATATCTAAAAGGTTTTTATCTTCTTCTAACATTCAGATATTTAAAGCTACACTGTGTGATTTTTTCCCCCATCTAGTGGTGAAAAGGTATATGACCATCCAGTGAATATTATTTTCGATTCCTCTCAATTTCGATTTCGTTTTAACTCCTACGGTGGCCAATGTAGTCCAAGATTAACATGGCTTCCAGTTCGACCTCGTCCATGAGTGTTAACTCAAACGTAAACGCGAAAGGCGAAGCTTGAATTGACGGCTATGTCCCTCTTTGGCTAATGTACTTTTTAAGATGGAGGGGCAACATGGCGACCGACATTAGAACCCTTAACCCGTATGGCATATTATACACTCACGAGAATACTTTATTACTTGAACGAAGTAAATATACATGAACGAGCACATATATTTTTGAAAGTGTTTTTAGCTAAGAATAAACTAAAAGAGTTACACAGTGTAGCTTTAAATAGGATAAAACACCAACAATAAAAAGATTTAGCTAGGTTAGCTGATTACCTTAAAAGTCAGTTCTTACTGCCGTACGTTCTCCGGCAACCAGACCCGTTTTCCTGTTTGTTCATGTGACGTTCGGCATTAAGCCTATGAGAGATTTGGACACTCAAGGCCAATTTATACTTCTGCGTAGGGTGCGCGCAGTAGGTACGGCGTAGCATACGCATAGACATGTACCATACCGCGTACCTTTTGTCGTAGCCTGACGCGCACCTCCTCAAAAATTTAACTACACGTCACGACGACGAGGGCCGCAAGATCTGTGATTGTTCGGCTTGGTAGCATCGCATTTTCTCCTACGCATTTCCGCACGTACCATCTCCTCCGACGTCTTCTCTCGTTTCTGCCTTTTAGTTTTAGTAATTTCACTAAAATTAACTGTTTTTCCACCTCAATAAGCTCCAACTCCAACATGATCCGCTTTCTTTCAGTTGCCATTGCTTGTAGTAACCTAGCCGCGACGAATCTAAACACAGTGTAACATTAAAACCCTCCGCCGCCAACTAGCGTTTCGGAGCAGTACTGCAGAGCAACCAAGACCTGAACGCAGAAGTATAAATGCTCACGACGGCGTCGCCTTGGTGCGTAGCCTACGCCGTACACTACGGCATACCCTCGACGCAGAAGTATAAATTGGCCTTCAGGCATTGACGTTCTCAGTGATTTCAAAATAAAAGTCCCGCAAAAAAAAAAACACAAACAATGCCGATAATTAATCTCTTATCGTTTATATATTGCTATAATGTAATCTTGCGAACAAAAACAGATGGAGGTCAGAGGAGGAGTCGGCAGAAGCACAGGCATCATGGGTAATGGTAGAGAGGGTGCATCGGCCTCAGCCACGGCCCTGTCCTCATCTGGAGGGGCCCCTCAGGGCCCAATGCTGCAGTTCTTCACCAAGCTCCGCCGACACGCCAGCCTTGAGGGAGCAAGTCCCTATTTCAAGATCAAGAAATGGAAGTTTGACAGCAGCCAAAGAGCTTCAAGTCTAGACATGAGAGGTCAGTGACACATCCAGCGCACTCAGTGTGAATTAGTGTTTTACAAAGTGTGAATTACTGTGTTTTTAGAATTATAAAAATTACTGTGTTTTCTACCATGCTTCACTGTGGTAGAGATGCATTTATTATTATATTTCTCAGCAGATCTTTGATGACACTGCTCTGGAGCATCACAATGCAACTCATGTTTCATTGTGATTCACTCCACACACAACTTTCCATATTCTGCCAAAAAAAAAAAAAAAAATTCTGAGAAAGCAAGAGCTTTTTAAGTTGGCTAATTTTCTGAAAAATAATTTGTGATTAAGACAATGCAAATCTTCAAATTTTGTCTTTTTGGGCTCTGCCAATTTTTTGACATGTCAAAAATCTTTTTAGTGTGATATTATTCTGCCTAATATATAAATAATGAGAAAAACGCATGGTGTAGCTGACGAGACTGAATGAATAAAAATGAATGAATAGATTAACTAGAATGCTGTTGTTTGATTATATAAGTATTACTGTAAAAATCTTTCAGTTTATCCTTTCGGGTCTGTCAGCATGAAAGGAAGTGAAAAAACACTGCTGTGGAAAGTACAGACAGTGTTATGAACCTGTGAAGCGATCAGTTTCCTATCCTCAGGGCTTAGATGCAAAGCAATATTGAATGTTTCTGTGCTTTTCATTTAGCCCCTGCATTGTGTATTACCTTGGAAAATGATTGAAGACCTTAATAGAGTTTTAGTGCCTTCATGTAGCGTGGAGCAGAGAAACAGGTCGGCTTTATTTTCGATAGTAATCTATAGTCTACTGAACACACACACACAAACACACACAGTGTGTAGCAGACTATAGAATATTCGCTCAGCCAAGACGGAGCTGCTGTATTTGTGTGCCAAGACTCACTCTCAAACAGATGGCCGGTTGACGCAGGACTCTTCCATTCCAAACTTTTTTTTTTAAAGGAGATATGGCAAAAAAAAAGGGCATTTCAAACGATCAATTTATTTTATTCTGTGGAACAATAAGGTCCTCCTGATTAAAGCAATGCTCTAATAGAATGGATTTCAGTTATAGAGTGCCCTGGTTAACTAATAAGATATCATATTGTCAATATGTTAATTATGTTTTTTGAACGCATTACAACTAATGTACTATATTTAGAATACACATAAGAGATCTCAGAGCAGAAGTCATTCATTTTCAAAACTCATGTCATTCCAAACCCGTAAGACTTTCTTTCATCTTCTGAACACAAATTAAGATGTTTTTGATGAAATCTGAGAGCTTTCTGTGCCTCCATTGACAGTCTACGCAACTACCACTTTGACGCTTCAAAAAGTTAAAACTAATCAATATGAATTGAGCGGTTTAGTCCAAAATTTTCGGAAGAGACACGATCACTTTATATGTTCAACAGATTGAATTTAGGCATTTATTCGTAATTCATAAAATCTGGACTAAACCGCTCGATTCATATGAATTAGTTTTACGATCTCTTTATGAACTTTTTGAAGCGTCAAAGTGTCTCCATAGCTTTCAGTGGAGGGACGGCAATCTCTCAGAAGTTCTTCATTTGGATCTGTCTTTCAAGTTTGGAATGACATGAGGGTGAGTAATTAAAGCAAATTATTGCATTTTAATTAGAGATTACAAAAAACTTGTGACGATATTTGCCTAATAGTTCCAACCATGTAACTTTGATGTTTGCGAATGTTCGTTGGAACTATGGTTTTGGGAAACACAGAATCACTGAATTTTGTTGGTGACCATTGGCCATTGGTGGATTAATTAATCATTGACAATAAAACCTGGAATGTGTTGATTTTGATTTCATTTTAGCCTTTAAACTTGCTTTGTGAAACCGTTGACGCAAAATTCATGTCGTCCCCAAAGGCTCCCCCAAACGAAGGCAGTTCCAGCGGCAGCGTGCAGCCAGCGAGAGCATGGACCAAGAGGAGCATGACGCCCATCACATCGACCTCATACAATACATCGCTCGCACCAAGGATGTTACCTACTGCCCCACCCGGGCCAGTCCACGCCTTCTGTCCCCCCCTTCCACACCCCCACCCTCCCTCGGCAGGTATCTTTAATTGCCTCGCCCATGCATTCGCTAGGCTATAGCAACCATCTGCCACGCCACTCATAAAGCAGACCCCATTCCATGCTGGACTGATCTCAGCTCGCTGATCGCACTGCCTTATCATGGCATCATCAGCTTACAGTGCAAAAAGCTTTGCTTGAGAATATGGAAGTTGTTTCCTTGAGTGTGGGTTAATTCCACAGGTGTACTTTTTTGGTATTTGTAGCGATTGGTTTGCATATGTTTTGCAAAATTGTCCAGGATGGTCAATATAAGCATTGTTTTGTTTCATGAGTATATTTGTTTATATTTGCTTGCCTATTACAACTGACTTTCTTGAATCTGTTGCTGTGCATTGGTCTCCTCGAATGAACCATCACAGAGTGAGTCACAACCATCTGTGCGTTCATGGGGGCATCTATTTTAACATCTCTGAATCTGGGCTTTAACAGAAAGGAAAAATAATTAAAAAAAATATATTTGATATACTTAACTGTTCAAAACTTTACTGTCAGTAATTTCTTTTTTAAGAAATTAAAAAAAATATTTGTTTTTATTTATTTGCTGTTTTTGGAGCATTGCCATTTTATATGAATAATAAATTAAAAAATACAGTATTAAAAAAATTTATTAAAAAATAAATAAATTTTAAAATTATTAAAAAAATACAGTATATTTACATCAAATTAACAGTTGTGTCTGAATCTGGGCTCAGGGTTTTAATGGAAAGCTTATTTGACAGATGCACACTGATAAGAATCATGCTGTGCTACATTGTGGCATTTAAAAAATAAATACTGACTCTATGTAGGACTATACGCACAACTTTTGGGGGAAAACAAAGTAGACTCCCCATAGACTTCAATACAAAATAACAGCAAAAACCAACGTCCGTACACAGCCGACAGGCGTAAATAACTTCATCACTTATATGAAACTTGTCAAGTCCACCCTGCCTGCCACAGAGCGTGAAAGATACATACACAAACTTAATTTGGTCAATTTAAAAACATGTCCCTTTAAGCATGTCAAAATTGGGGTAACAATTGACTCCCAGCGTCAAATTGGGGTAACAACCCCACCCAGTGGCCAGAGGTGTCTTACCCGGACATTTACTTGTACCTAATCGAGTCACCAGGTAAGTCCCTGAATGATTTATTTCGTTTTTTAAAGTAAAAAAAAACCTTAATATATATATTATGAATTTATGATGATGATGGCAGGTAGCCTGGGCAAGTTCACGCTCTATGGCAGGCAGGGTGGACATATAATTACTTGACATGTTTTATATAAATGATTTCTTAAGTTATTTACGCCTATCGGCTGTGTACGGATGTTGGTTTTTGCCGTTATTTTGTATTGAAGTCTATGGGGAGTGTAGTTTGTTTCCTTCAAAAGGGGCCAGGGACAAAATTGACAGTTAAGTTCCCGGATGTGCCGGTTGTGTGTATGAGCTTGTCTGATTTCATATGTGTTCTGTTCTTCAGGTTAGAGGTGGAGGTGATGGTGGAGCCGAGCTGCAGCAGAGCGATGGGTCCCGGGGTGATCGGCCTCAGCTCCGAGCCCCCAGATGAGAGTCTTGGAATGGGCTATCATCAGGAGAGCTTAGAACCTCAGACCTTGTACCGTGATATCTGGACTCTTCGCGCCTCCCTCGAGCGGTACGTCTCGTCCGACCAGAGCAGCAACAACGACAAAGACTCGGTCCGTAGTGACGCAGAAAGCGTGTGCTCTATAGGGGGTAAGACCGAGATGGGAGGACTGCCTAGGTTCCCCTCGCAGGATATTGGGGATGAGATAGAGGGGGATGCAGACTTACCTCTAGATGAGGGATCGGAGAAAAGTCGTAAGCAGGATAGCGTCGATTCTGAAAGAGGAAGTGACGGGGAGCCAGGAAACCGCAAGCTCCTCCAGATGGACAGCGGTTACGCCTCGATAGAAGCACCTTCACGTGCTCCTGAGGAGCTGCGGCTGTTCGGAAGCAGCAGTAGCAGTAAAGACGGCTCTGCCGTGGAGCGCAGGCACTTCTTCAGCTCCGACCGCAAAGGGACCGTGTGCGAGAGCTTCGACACGGAGATCTTTGAAGAAGAACTCGAAGAGGAACCAGCAGGTGCCAGTGGCGGTGTGGACGGAGTGGAAACGGACAAGAGCACCATTCTGTGGTCCCCTTACGGCCAGATGTTCACTCAACGGAATGATCAACCTCATCCCCCCGCCCTTTCCCGCCGCGACTACAGCATCGACGAGAAAACCGACGCGCTTTTCAACGAGTACTTGCGGCACGACCCACAGTTCGATCAGCAGGAGTCCCCGCTGCGCTCCAAGCATCGTTCTCGCGTGCACCTGCGCAAGCAGTGGCAGCGCTCCAAACAATACAGCGACCCCGGCCAGCGCTTCCAAACCTCTTTTGACCGGTACCGCTCTCCGCTCCGACGTGGCGAAACTGTCAACTATCCTTTAGAGACTAGCTACCACAGCACGCTCCCACGAATCATTAGCGCACCTGATGAAGAGAGCAGCGAAGGTGCAACCAGTACTCCCGAGACACCCAAGGCAGATCAGGATACTGCTCCGGACAACATAAGAATATCTTCCAGCACTGAAAGCCGTGGAACCATCGACGATAAGGAAGTCCTTGAGGCATCACAGCCCCTTCCAACAATAGACATTGCTGGAGAGCAATCGGTGGACCGGGAGAACTCTAGGCTAGCACTGCCACCCCCTGAGCCTCCTGATGAATGTACGCACAAATGTACAAGCTACGGCCCACAGACAATCACAGAAGAGCTGAGTGACAAGCTAGCGGCTACCCTCGAAGAGCGGCTGTACTCGGATCTCCGCAGGACCAGGGAACCGTCCGAGTGTAGCGCAGTGACTATGACCTACACATCGCCCGATCACAGTCCAGTGTAGCATGTGGCTCCCTTCATCTCCTCGTACAAGAACACTTCACAGCAACTATAGGTCCAAAGTTTTAATCGACATTCACTCTGATCTGGAACAGGTTTACTTTGGTCATTTAAATGAAGTTGAAATCATTGTCATTATGTCCTAGACCAATGGTGTAGAGGCATTTCTTCCATGTCCATTGTTAAATAAACGTAGTTAAGGCGCATACCTCATGTTGCTCAGTGGACCAAGTCTTAAACAAATGAAATGTCAACTTCTGTTATTAAAGCTCTCCATTTAGCTACGCGTTGACTTCAAAAGCCAATATTTTCTCTGCACTAGGTAATCCACTGTGAATTTGGGTGCTATTAGATTAAATATTGATTATATTTGTAAGTGCATGAATTTTATTGCAATGCTGCCTATCTGGATGTCTGTTCATGACCCAAATTAAGAATATTATTATCATTTTTTTTATTTTGAAAGTACAAGTACAAGTTTCATTCACGTTGTGATGAAATGAAACACTAAATGCTATTTATTATTAGCGTCTGGGTTTTTGTTGTGTTGCTAAACTTGCTGTCTGACTTAAAATTTCAGAAAAAATCATTGATTACGGTAATCTGAAACACCATGGCATTGGTCCAATTCCTAAGTAAACTATTTCCCAGTGTTTGTAATTTGGGGTAAATTACACTGGCACATTCGCAACCAACTATTAATTGTCCCTGTCATTTAATAGCGTTCACCCGCCCCCCCCCCATTGAAGTCCTGATTGGTTAAAAATGCCTCTTTGTGAGATACTGTAATTTTATGACCATTGACTTATTATAATTATTGTGCTTTTCATCTTTTAATTGTATCATTTGTTCTGTATTGGTTATCATATCTGTGAGAATGAGTAGTAGAGTGAACAATTTTAGTGCCAAATTGTTGTCAGGTAATACCAAGATCAAACATGAAAACACTGTAAGCAACAAACAGTCCTGTAAAATAAGGATCACAGATTTGCCTCTCTGAGGGTTTGAATCAAGCCTGAGACATCTGAATGAATTTCATTGAGAGAAGGGCATGCCTTTTCTTGCATGAGCTCTGTGTGTTCATGAGCAGTACATTTACGTGAAGATGTGGCCTGGACAAAACCATCATTTAGAGTCTATTAGAGCAAATCCCACTGCCCAGCATAAGCCATTGTTGTATCTCGGTACAAATGCCACCATTCACATTAATCCGAACTGTCCACTATGCTAGTATTTCCATCTGTCAGCGTCGGCTCTTGGGTTGAGCTCACAGTATGGGTTGCGTTATATTGATCATTCTGGGTTTGATCTTCTAGTAAGAATGCAAACAAAAGGTTGTCTTTAGCGGATTCTCAGTTGTGATGTGTTAGAAAGTCTATCATTGTGAAATGTGAGCCCTTTGGCGACATACAGTGTAGACTCTTGATGTAATGAAGCAAAGCTTGTGTAGCATCTGTAGTCTTTGTCTATGAAGGCTCACAATGTTGTTGTGTGCCCTTTTAGGGCGATTGTTAGAGCTGTCGAGTAGTACACTAAAGTCTACATGTGCTATTTAGGCTGCAGCTGAAGTACCCTATCCAGAAATAAAAAGCTTTCATTATCTAGGCGAACAATGGCTGATGTGTATGGAGTAATTAACAATGCCAGAGAAAAGAGAGCTTCAGACTAGCTGATATTGTTTATTGATTGTTTCAGGCTAAATGAAACGTACAGACCATCTCACATGATTAATATGGTGCCTTCCTGTGCGTTTAACATTTAAAGGGATAGTTCATCTGACAATTATCATACAATTTAAGTCAATAGGGTCCAATCAGTGTTATTTTAGTATAGTTAAGATTATAGGGTTTTTTTGTGCATATATAATTTTAATTTAATTTATTATTTTATAAATATAATAAATCATCTAAATTATTACTTTTTTATTTCTAGCAATGTTTTTTTTATATGGTTTTAGTTTTAGTTTCTGTTAAGTATAATAAACCTGTTTTAGACTCCAATGACTTTAGCCACAAAATATCTTCTTTTGTGGTCAACATTAATGTGAGTAAATGATGCCAGAATTTCCATTTTTGGGTCAACTATCCCTTTAAGAGAACGAGTTTGAGATCCTCACTAGAGCACTTACTTACATAATTGAATAGGCCAAATTACCTTACAGAGGTTATTAATAAAAAATGAACAGAAAAAACGAACAAAAAGCTGTTGGAAATGTGGTACATTTTTGCGGCATTGTGAAAAGCACGTACACAAGGGTTATCTGTTACAAATCCAGACCTTGGTTTTGATTAACTGTAATCCGTAACATGTCAGGGACAGCTAAATCTGTACAAAGGATGAAGTTGAGTTGTATATAAGCACAATGATGTCCCATTTCAGGCACTAGAATAGTCTATGTCTTGGATTTGACATAGTTGGGACCTTTGGGAGATATGTGCACAATCAAATAGCCTGTCGGTTGATGAATTACTGTATAGATTTGCATGTGATGACAAATTATTGTTTAGCAGATCCAAAATGAAGCACCAAATCATAGATATTTTTTGTGTGAATCCGAGAATGAAAAGAAATAGACTAAGTATTTTAGCGGAGTCTGTTATTTTAGAAGTTATGCTTTGCTGACTTGATAAGATTTTCATGGACAAAATTAATTATTTCTATTGCTGGGTATATTTCGATGAAAAAGGAAACATATATTAATGTGCAAATTTCCTTGTAGAAAAAAAAACAAAAACTTGCTTGACTGATTGCTCAGTCAAAAAAAAAAGAGAACGTTTGTTTGTATACCTGGATCTCTTTGTTCTAGATCTACTGAGCCTTGAGGGACCAACTAATCTAAACATTTATTTTCATGTTATGTTTTTCCAACTAGTCAATAAAGAATGATGCATTATGACTTTGCCTGAGACCGTTTCGTTTTTATTTCATCTCAAGATCAAAAGATTGTCGGCTCGCTTCTGCAAACTGATATCTACACCTGTCTATGTTCCATCCTGCCGTTCTCCATCTTAAGGCCAATTTATACTTCTGCGTAGGGTGCGCGCAGTAGGTACGGCGTAGCATACGCACAGACGCGTCCCATTGCGCGTACCCTTCGCCGTCGCCTGACGCGCACCTCCTCAAAAATGTAACTACACGTCGCGACGACGCGGACCGCAAGATCGGTGATTGGTCGGCTTGGTAGCATCGCATTTCCTCCTACGCATTTCCGCACGTACCTTCTCACACATTTCCATCACTGTCTATGATTTCCACACGTACCATCTCCTCCGACGTCTTCTCTCATTTCTGCCTTTCAGTTTTAGTAATTTCACTAAAGTGAACTGTTTTTCCACCTCAATAAGCTCCAACTCCAACATGATCCACTCTCTTTCAATCGCTATTGCTTGTAGTAACCTAGCCGTAAGGAATCTAAACACAGTGGAACATTAAAACTCTCCGCCGCCAACTAGCGTTTCGGAGCAGTACTGCAGAGCAACAAGACCTGAACGCAGAAGTATAAATGCTCATAACGGCGTCGCCTACGTGCGTAGCCAACGCCGCACATTACGGCGTACCCTCGACGCAGAAGTATAAATTGGCCTTTAGGCGCTGAAATATCCCCGTGGGAACATCAAATATTCATATCAGCCAAGCTAATAAATTAAAGATGGCTGTACAGTCATTATGATTCTAAATCAATAGCAACCCCCGGTAACCAGGGAGAATGGGATAGGGCCTTTACTCTTGTGATAGTGGCTATCAATCATCTGCGCGACAACGCGAACAATGACACCACTGACACATCCTATTTATACATGTTCCTGTGCTGTACTGAATGTTCTGAATTGAAGATGACCAACCCAATGGTTTTCATAGGCGTTTGAGATTCATCTCTCCATTGGGGACAATTTATCATTAACATTTGAGCTTAAACACTTATCACTGGGGGTGTTAAAAGATGATGCTGTGAAGGAAGATAATAGACCGATTCTAGATCTTTTTTTTTTTTATCAAACAAGCATATCCTAACCCTATCACTAAGCTGAGCTCTAACCATCAAAAGTCAATTGGAAACTGCTTGAAATGGGTCGGCATTCAATTTCTTGATGTTACTCAAGCCCCAACTCTAAAATCTGATTGGTCAACTGGATTGTTCTTTCAGGACCAACAGGAAAACATCCTGCTTTCACAGAAAGACCATAGCTGCGTCCGAAATCGAATACTTCCCTACTATATAGTATGCGAAAAACAGTACGCGAGCAGTATAGTATGTCCGAAATCATAGAATTCGAAAAACAGTAGACGAAAAGTACCCGGATGACCTACTACTTCCGGCGAGATTCTGAAGTGCGCATACGATGGACACTTTACAATCCCATGATGCCACGGGAGAGGAGTTGTTGTCGTTATATTTGAAAATGGCGGTAACCGGAGACGCGGCTGTAACGTTATAGGAGATAAACACAGACACACATGCGTATCTCTATTGATTCATTCATGTTTATTTATCGATGGTAATATCACAAGCAAATAAATGGCTTTTAATCTGTCATTGTTCATAGGGGTTGTGTGTGTGTTTTGTGAGGTAAAATTTATGAGGTAAACAAATGTTATTTGAGAAATTCCGCAAAAGGCGTGATCTGCGAGCAGCTGACCGACGCCTCGTCTTGATTGTTGACTCGAATGACAAAAAAACGCAAATGAAAACTGAAAGCAGAACTAACGTTGGTGCAGTCACTGGAATGGGCTCTTTAAATTTTCTTTTAAATTTTCTACAACAACAGCGTGCATGTAGTACATCTGGACTCGTATTCATACTATTTAGAACATCCTTTTTTAACGGTCGCTAAGTACATACTTATTTAAATATAGTACCTACTCACATAGTACGCGATTTCGGACGCAGCCACTGTCTGTGTCCGTATTTACATGCTCTCTAAATTGGTACTTCTTTTGCAGTAAAATAATTACTTTGCGACCATTAAAAAAAAATAACGTTTTTTTTTATATAGTATTAATGTGTGAATTTAATTTGGATGTACTACATACGCCATGTTGTCACTGTCATGTGACCTGCCAGTGTCAGTTGGGTCACTTCGTTACCATTCAGTGGAACACCTTCCAAAAACTGTCTTATGAATACTGTGAATTCAGACTCTTTTTTCTGTGTTTCACCTTCTAAATAGTTAGTAAGTATGTAATTTTGGATGTAGCCTTGGTATATGTTTGACAAAGTTCAAGCATGTGGACTGTTCAGGGCTAAAAAGGACAACAAAAAGCCTTGCAGGCAACAGACAAGCACTGTTCTGTGTTGACGTATTTCTTATTAAAACTAGTTTGGGTTGGCCTTGTCTCGGCTTTCTCAATTGCTATCGAAATATATTCAAGTTTTCTAGTCAGAAATTGGACATGAAGCCCAGTCTCAAGTCGTATTTAAGATTGGGAAACTCTGGTTAAATTAGTGGTCTGGTTAACACTACTGCGTTTTCGTTTAAAAACGGAGACCTTTTGCTACGTTTGCACCTCCTGTCCTGACTAAAACGGAAAAAACGAAGACCTAAAACGGAAAAGTTTAGAAACGCTGCAGCTCCGTTTTGCGCTTTGAATCTCCGGAGTTCGTTTTAGTGAAAACGGGACAAAATGGAGGACTTCAGATACGCTGACGCAGAGACCCACGCTCGGCTCTATGATTGGGTGTCATCAGTCATGACGTGTCCTTCCCTGATTCGTCAGCCACTGTTTACACCGGCACGCGCACATGCCCAGTGTTGGTGAATGGTCACGTGATCCGCATTTTCAGTCGTTTTAATGTGGACGGAGATCAATTCTAATACGCAGATAAAACGCCGGTGTGGACAGAGATCGTATTCGTTTTAATTCTCAGTTTTTAAACGAAAACGCAGTAGTGTGGGCGGGGCTGGCCATAAACTTTAAACATGGAGGAAGAGAAAACCATTTCTGTAGTGAATGGTTGATAAGTCATTTCATATTTCCATTTATAAATAACGTTTTTTTGCATTTTGTATGCATTTGAATTAACCTGCTATCCTCAAATTCTATTCTATTTCTATTCTTTCCATCAACAAAGCACTTGAATACGACAAACTCGTAATTGCGACATCAGAAGTGGGAAATAGGACATCTTCGACAGTCAACATTAATATCCAACAAAAACAAAGTTCATTAAACTCAATATGGTGAAAGGTAAACTGCTCGCAATCACATCATCGTCTATAGGGAACAGCTGATTGGCTCCTTTGCAGAGTGAATTTGATTGGTTAAAAATCTGTGCAGTGCAGGATGACATCATCAATATATCAATCATTTTTGGTCCACTTTCCTAGTACAGTTTAAATTGCTTATATCTGCCAAGACTTTAGTGGCATGCTAAATAATAAAAATTGCCCTTTAAATCTTATTCGAGTAGGATAGTTTCTGCATGGTCACACATATAATTTATTGCATTTTAAGCTAATTGAAACCTTATTCAGTACTTCGGCATGAAAGCTTTGAGAAGAAAAAAGACTTATCTCACCCTTCTGAGCTTGGCACTCATTAGGATGACTGTACCCTGTGAAGCGTGCTTGGTGTACATATGCACCGCTCGAGGCTACAGAATATGATGTGCTTCTCATCATCATAGTGACAGCACATATGGTTTCAGTGGAAGGCGCCTTCTAAATGCTATCATTTTGTAGTGTCTACTAAGAGCACACCGCTCTTGCGGACTTATAGAATTTATTCTTAAAATGGAAGCGTCAACTGTGCTGAAATCACAGGAACAAATGGTGTCTGAAACATCTCTGCTTTGTGAAACAATATCCTGTGCAATCCATTAAGCGGAGATGGCCAGTGAGTCACCAGCAATGGGCAAATTAATGGAGATGAAATGTAACTCACTCACCAC